CACACTCACAACTGGATGCTGTTCTGCCACCAGCTGAATCAGTCTGATCATGTGATGCTGCTCCGCCGGCTCCAGCTGAGGCATCATGGCCGCCAGGTCGCCCAGGTCACGGTGGACGCTGTCCGGGTGTCGTGGGTAAACTGACGGCAGGACTCGCAGCAGCATGTGCTCACCTGAGGGGGGGGATGAAGGGGGGGAGGATTGACACATTGGATAATTTTATTAGTTCATCAGTGACACGTCTGTCTTACACCTCTTCATGGTTTAAGTGCACAGTGGACTGAGGGACGGCCGTTGTCTTGTCAGCTGATCCGGATCCTGATCCAGATCCTGATCCAGATCCAGATCCTGATCCTGATCATTCTTATTAACTTGGTGATTATGATCTTAGCGCGACAAGTACAAATGAGAGCCAGACTGTGGGAAACTAGAAATTTCGTTTTAATTTGTTTTCTGCGGTCGAGCTGTGACATTTATATTTCCTCAAAAAAAAAAAAAACTCGGGAGATTCTCCGTGGAAACCCAACGGCTGAGTGTTTATGACCAAAACCTTTGACTTTTTTGAGGTTTCCCTCCAAATTCCTGGTCAAGATAAAGAAAAATCAAAGTCAGAACTGACGCAGAGCTGGAAATAATGATGTGTGTAAATACTGAGACATTACCCAGCAGCCTTTGAGTCACATCTTTAACTGATTCTCATTACAGAACAAAGGCCGTTGTTTTCCAATTCTAGGTTCATTTCAAGATTCAAGATTTCAAACAATGGCTTTTGTGTCGGAGCGGAGAGAAAATGTCAGGCAGATATTGTGAATTTAATCTTTCACTGCAGTGGGATTTGGCAGATAATTCCACGAGTTCCCCAGAAACACAGGACAGGAGGCAACAAAAAAAGAAACAAAAAAAAAAACGGATCCATCTGTGAAGCTGCTGAAACACCCAGAGTAAAATGGTAAAGTTTACTTCAACATCTGATTGGAGAACACCATGGACAACAAGGTGCAGTAGAGCGCCCTCTGTTGGAGGAGTGTCTTATTGAAGATTTACCTCTAAATAGGGTTTAAATTTAAAATTCAGAAAAGTAATACATCATGACAAGATTTCTCTAC